ATATGCAATAACCGATCAATAAAAGCTGTAATCATGAGATCGAGCACTTGGGAGGTCTGGCTTCGAGAAATCCCTCAACTTCACGAAAAGACACGTCGCGAAGCTTGTTCCAATCAACTGCAGAACGGTGTTATTCTTATATTGGCACTTGCTTATATATGGTTTTATCGGTGATTCTTACTAGAATTTCCGCCAAGTAATATGGTTTGGTACTTATATGTTCAAGAAAATTTGCTTTCTGAACCCAACTCAAAGTTATCACAATCAAAATATATCGATTTGAATTCCTGTATGAAATTTTTATGTAATCCTTATTCAGTAAGAGTTGGCCAGAATCGTTACATAAAACATTTGAAAAAATATTTCTAGATGAACTACCATTCACTATAGATAATTCAGTTACTTAATGTTTAATGTTTTAGAATTAGACATCACTTGAGCAAGACAGAACAAATAACCTGTACAACTGCTAGAGCAAACGCCGTTCCACTGATTATTGTTAAGTGTTCTTTCATGTACGTAACAAGATATCGCTGACAGCCCTTAAAATATCACAATACATTCACTTCTTCGATCAATCTCAATACGAATCAGTAAATTAAGAACTACTGTTCGGTGTGTCAGTAAAACCTGGCAGAAAAGCTTTTCATTTCAGATTGATGATGATTTTGAATGAACTTGTTATACTTGATGAGTACGATTTATCAATACTGATTGTTCACAACTAAAACAGATGAAAAGCAAAATTTTCTAAAAATTCTGTCAGTCTTCTATGATGTAAATCAGACGATTTCCTCCAAAATAATATAGGGTTTGGGTTACTTCATCGGATAAACTCAGAACTGCTCAATTGAAAATTAATTTAAGATGCCCGTTAAGAGGCAAACTATAATGTAAACACTCATCATAATCATGCGCTACATTTTGAACTCAATATTTCCAGAGGCATTTGATAACTCGTGTAGCCTGATGGCATTAGATTCAATGTGCATTCATACTATCAGAAAAATTAGAACAAAAACGTTACATCATAATAGATGTTGGAGGGGTGATCACGACGACCGCAATCAGTCGTCTGTGTACGACAGCAAAAGTCCGGCACAGATAAATCGAATCCACGACTGCCCGAAAGTGTAGCTGTATTCACGTTTTGCCACCACACCGAATTGCGCCAATCCTCGAACGTGAGTGCCCCACAACATTTGCCCTACAAAATAAACGATGAAAATCACAATACTTTTCACTAGCTTATAATATTTAAAATTATTGTTGCATCATAAATTGCAACGCTCATCCGTAAACCGCTGAATGATGCTTATGAATGTTAAATGTTAAATTAAAAGTTTACTAGGATTGAATGTTAATGTTGCCCTTATATTTGTTCGACAATTTAAAATGCAATGAGCTATGAGAAAATTGAAGAATTTTACGAGCGGTTGTGAAAGGACTGAATTCAAAATCGCTTGAAGATTGAGAATCTCATGCGATTGTGCAAACCTCAATAAGCAACTAAACAAATACACTTGTTCAAGATCGATTTCATTCATCATTTATGAATAAACCCATTCGATTACCTGCTTATGCAACGTTTCAATTGCATTACTGATTTCGGTATCTATCGAATGGTCCCGTAAAAGATTTGCCATAAGCGATGAATTCAATTCGTTGCTGATTTGCTCACTGTACGAATATGCAAAAATACACAGCACCCCTTCCAATACTAGCACTGATAGCAGCAATAACGTGTACTGAAATTCGAATGATACATCTGAAGACGATGAATTTGGAAGTTATTTATCATCATCAGACTTCGCTCTTCATCGATGTGATACTTACTTGCGTCCATCAGCGATTCCACTCTACTTAATGATTTACTTTCCACAGTCACAACAACTTCGCACTTCAAATAAAAATCCATTTCAAAACATGCCCTCAAAACACCTCTGCAATAGGCGCATTTCGTGTTTCGGAGAACTTCTCAATGTAAATCAGAATTATCTGAATTATTTTGAACAAAAAGCTGAATAACAGAAATCTGAATGAACGATCATCACATATTTCGAAGTATCTGATTTTACAGTGTTCATCGTGATATTTCCCAATCATGCAACATTTTCAACAAACTCACAATCAGAACAAACATAGCTCTTCCTTTGGCCACTCCAACGCAACCGAATGTGGCCACAGCGATAACAGAAAAGCCCGTAAAGACGGCTGTATAAGTGATCACTCTATAGGTACTTCTCGCCAATAGTGATACGTATTCCCACTTATAGACAAATGTCCAAATGCCAATACCTATCAAAACGATGCCGGATATCTGAATAAAAAAAATGAATAAAGGAATTGTACACTCGAAGTATAATAAAAAGTATTCATAGCAAAAATTTACAAGTTCCACCAATTTCTTTTGCTGTATGCAGTTGTGTTGAGAACGCAAAGCAATTGTGCACGACTATTCAGAAAACTATTGTGCAATAATCGGCTGAAAAACGCGAATTCAATCTCTGTTAACCCATTTTCCATCAAGAATGATAGATTTCTTTCCCAAATTCTTTCAATTATTTCTACCGTTCTGTAATTTCATTGAAAATTTGAAAGATAAGATCGTCCAATAAAAACTGAAACTCTGTATGGTAGCGGGAGGAATTTAATCAATCGTAAGAGCTTAGAATTTTTTATGGCAGAATAAGGTAGAAATAATTGGAACGTAAGAACACTGAATAAAGCAATAAGAATGATGGACGAAGTTCACAACTCAGCCATAATTTCGACAGTGATCTGATAAAAACAGAGGCATTTTCAGTGAAAAAAAATTCTCCAATTCTGAATCTGAAGGAATGTGCAAATATTATAAACATACATATATTTTCATTTTGACCAATTACTTGAGTCTTTATTATCAATGTTACTACGACATTATTACAACGACATTGTTTTGATTACTACCAATTTTCTTACGAAAAGATTGTTAAATCTAATAAAAATTTGGATGGTTTGATGGTTAAATACATGGCTGTGATTTCACAATACGATTGGAAATGATATCCGAAAAAATGCCACTCTAAATAGCTCCCAGAAAATTCAAACTGGTAAGGATCTATCTGCATGAACACAATGCACAAGAAATGAAATGCATGGTTGAATAAAATAATCGCTGCCTAATTTTGATAAATTTACTCTGTTGTATTGAAATTCATCGGCTAGGCAATGGAAATCTACTTTGAAATTCATAACCATAAAATTCATATGTGCGAATAGAAGGGAACAATTTGATTGCTATTAACGCTGTTTGTTTGCAGGATCCAACCGCATATGATAATAAAATATGTTTTCTTCTGACTCACCAACTCATCAATACCAACGGAAAAGAATTCGCATTATCGCTGAATATTTTTTTAATGAATATGTATGCAGGCGGCTGGCAACTGCTTTTCTCGATAGTTTTTCAATTTTATATTCCAAAACATTCACTTTTTTGTTTTGTTTTAGTGAATGTTTTGGAGGTCGCAAGTAATTGAAGACAGATCGCAAGGTAATCACAAGGTAAACATTCACTAGATTCGATATGGAGCATATGAAGAAGCTATGTTAGAAATAGAACAGAAGTGATTATTTTCAACTCACATAAAACAAAAAGTTGAAAAAATAAATTATTATCTTCAGCAAACGCAAGCCACAGCAACTGTCATCGTCCAAATCCAGTCTTCTGTTTCGCGTCATACTGAGACGAATGAACAACTAAAATGGAGAAAAGAGAGCTCATTCATATCAAGTAAAATATTGCGAATATTTGAAACATTCGATATCGCATAAGAAAGAACTCGATATCGTTACTTAAACAACGATATCTGTGCATAGTACTTTCGACAATTTGATAATACACACAAAATTAAAATCACTAGAAATAGAAAATTTGATACGGAATTCATGGTCATCGGTCATAATGCATCGATCTACAGCTTACAAAAGACCCAATTCACTCTACTCAAGCAATTAACGAAAACTTTTGTTTCGACTGATGAAAGATGCGATTTTTATGCTTATCACTGTTTTATGATAAGGCACATACATACTAATGCTACTAGAGTCTATGCTTTTTTCTATGAAAAAGTGAAATGCATTTATTGATATAATAATGACATCATAAATGCCATCCTCATAACTGCAAGTTTACATTCGAGTGATTATTATTGAAGGGTAACCTTTTTCAGCTATAACTTCCAAACGGCTCATGTTTTATTAAATATTCTTGCGCAGTGCAATTTCATCATTTCAGTAGGTCACATAAAAAGTTGGATATAAGTTTCGCTCAGCTGAAACTTATTTTTTGAAGTTCATCTAAACTTGAAAGATGCGAATAACGATCAAGTGATTATTATTGTCTTACTTGCCTAACATACAGAACTTGAAAATGAAATCATTATGGGAATGTAGATGAATGGTGTTATAAATCTGTAAGTATCGAATATGATTTATGAAAAGCAGGTTTGTTTGGATGCCGACAGTGGTGGGCTGAGTGTGATCAAAAATATGTTCATCAGACAATATAAAAACATGAATTATAAAATTATATAAAAAGCATTATATGAAAGTATCAATAATCGCATTTCAAAAAACATTACACAGTTTTATTCATTTATTGGTATCTAGTAATTATTGAAAGAAAACAACACTACAGATGAAATAAAACCACTCTTGTACCCTAAAAAAATCACTTTTTACCGGCCAATGAGTCTTAACGTCCTACACCTGAATACTACTTGCCATTCCGTGGTTTCAGATTGTAAATGCTTGATTTCATGAACAAAATAAGTGATGAAGAAGCAGGTGTGGTGGCCAGCAATATAAACGACCTCGATCACCTGCAGGTACTACAAAACCAACGTCTAATGCCCTTGTGTGCAGCACAAATCCATTAAAAGAAATGTGCAATTTTTAGTCCATTTTCGATGACAACAATGAACAGTGGATATTGCTGAGGCTTGCATCTCATATAGCGATTTTCAGAGAACAGTCGCGTAAAAACATCATACATTACTGACTAACAAAATGAAATCATACATTACTAATTGTAAGTTCAATTATTCTCATTGAACCTACCATCTTAAATGCCGAATTGGTTCTGCTCCGAACAGAAAACACGCTGAACACTACATGATGAACAATTTTTACAAGGTACTGTAGCAATTGAAGTGGAACTGTAAATCTGACTTTTTCAGCGCTACCTTATTATCACAAAATATGCAAAAGGCTAATGCCTATAAACTGAAATACACTGGAAAATGCAATCGCAATAACGACAGTGGAAATTGCTTAGTCCATATGAATATAAACGTATGTGATGAACGGTTACACATTCACACTGGATATGATATATTCATTACAATTCAGAGATTAGATGCATAACTTTACGGAAAGGTTATACTCAGGGCATGCGATCAACGCAAACCCAAAACATTTACACACGTTTATTTACGTTATAGTGCTACCGTTAAGAATGGTTATAGTTACACTTAGTATCAAATAGTAATAATTATTTTTTATTATTACTATTATCATTTATTATTATTACTATTATCATTTATTATTATTATTAATTATTATTATTATTAT